CTACATATTATCAAAAGAGAAAGTTGACATTAATGTTTTCAGTAAATTTTGTATTCAATATCTACAGTCCTGGATGACAGCATCAAAAGCATGCAGTTTAGATGATCAAAAGGCGAGTAAAATATAATTTCTTAAAAAGTGTCCTAATGTGGTACAGTGGTGTATGTAACCATGGTAAAATTATATTCTGGTGTCATTTTTTTTATTGCACTGTTATCTTTAAAATGTTCCTTTACACCTTTGCTTCAATTTTTCCATATTTGTTCTGGTAGTATGACTCAAGTTCTTCCTTGATATCTATTCGTCCAACTTTGTTCAGTGCTTCAGTAATTGTTTTGAGATGATTTACTTCAGCTTTCTGTCTTTCTCGCCACTGTACGAACATTTCAATATAGGCGTCTACAATTGGTGGTGAAAAGTCTGATTCAAATCCATTTATTTCATGTTTCTCCAAACCAAGGTTGATGCCGAAATTTATCAAATCTTTGCCATCAAGTTTGTCAGAGATAAACACCATGTCAATATCATCTAAGCAACCTGTAATAGAACAGAATTTCCAATAATAATACTGTGTAGACAAATCCTAAAAGGCGTGCTCAATTATTTAAAGGGATATTCATAAAATAAACAAACCTTGATCATCAAAACGTTTTTCTAATTAATATTTAAAAAAAATTTTAAAAATCAGATACTAAGCGAAAGAAAGTGGTCTAATAGTGGTTGATACCAGGATGTTGTGGATTCGATTTCCACCCAAATTATTTGCAAGATTTTTCTTCACAATTATTTGGGGATGCACTAAATGTACAAAGACTCCTCTATATTATAACAGGGGTCAAGTTGTATATCAAATCAATTTGAAGGGTACAGTGATCATGCATGTGTGCAAAGTGACCAAGTTTAGGAAAAAAAATAATGTTGAAATATATTTATTTGTATAAAAGTGCATAAAATGTGATGCATCGGGATCGTGCTAGCAATGTTTTTTAGGATGTGCGAAATTGGTAATACATTTGGAGAATAGTAGTATTTTTGTATTAGATTTTCGCTAACCTTGCTGTGGTGTTGGAATTTGGGGCAGATTTATCTGAGTTGGTGCAACTTCTAACTCGTTACTGTAACCATGCCTTTCACACACACTTTGTGCAAGTCTAAGAAGCTTCTGTTGTCTCAAAGCGTTCATCATGATTGGTAATTGCTGGTACTTTGATTGGTTATTTCTCCAAGTAACCAGCAATTCCATGATGCGGTCCTCCACCTGTCTGTTGTTTTTTGCTATCTTATTAATATCACTCCACTTGAGTCCAAGACGCACTCCAAGTCTCCTCCATGGTCCAGACTCCAGGTTGTCACAAATGAACAGCAAATCTTGATCATTAAAACATTTTCCTAAATAAAAATGATAGATAAGTTACAGTGAGTAAAAAACATACTTAATGACAAGCTACAGAAAAAACATGTGAGGCTTCCTATGTAT